TCTTTCCTATCTGTTCAATTTTTTTTACAGTTAGGATTGTTCTACTTGATGGCAACGTCGGGTATTGCGTGCGAATACTTTGCTTGGCGTGGAATTTTCTACTTCAATGGAATTTCCTCTCTAATTTTCGCAATTCTTTGGGTGCTGCTTTTCAGAGATCACCCCTCTGAGTTAAAGAGAACGAGGAGTGCATCCAATAAGGTTCTTGTTTGCTCATCTTTAAGTTCTGTAGAAATTTTGTGCGCTCTTCTTCTTGCCATGCTTTGCTTTATCAAGGCAATCATATCTCTCAACATTTTTACTTAAGGAGCAGTTGTTAGACAAGCCAGTGGCGAAGCGTAGCCACGACCCGGTACCATACAAGTAAGAATTATCGGTTTACAGTGTAATTATGATCATTTACACACTTGTTCCAGGGCGTTCTTCACTTCCTTACCTATCTGGTCGTGCCTCATAGCTTGTTTTGGAAATTTCGGAGGAATCTCGCCATTTATGACATTTGCACCTGCTATCCTGAAGAAGGCTGTTAACTTATCGGACATTGCCGCTTCTCAGTACAACACTTTCTCTTTTATACTGCAGCTGTTCTTGAAACTATTTAGCGGTAAGTAGCCAGAAATCTTTATTATATAATTAAAAATGAATAGAAAAGGGGTATAGATTTTTTTCTTGTACATGTAGTAGGCAGATGATCAAACTTTTTTTGAACTTTTACATTTGTGGGATTTCAGTGTGGTGATTTAGTAATTTATCAGTTTTTTTGTAGGAAGCAGCCTTGGTTCTTTCTAGCATATATCTGGGCAAATTTTCTTCACCTATTAAAATTTTCAAAAAAAAAGTTTGTTAGATGACCCAGATTTGCAATTTTGTATGTCTTAGAAACGCTTAAGGTTCAGTTTCTACACGAAAATTTATAGTGTTTGCTTTCTCGTAATAATCGATAACAGTTACCTATCGAATTTCTCTGCATTTCATTCATAATGCTGTTTCCTAGAATTTCTGTTTGTACGTCAGAATAACTAATTAGCAAGATGTTTTGGTTCTCCGATGTTCAACTCTATATGCTTGCTCACATGACACATGATAAATGTAAAACAGCAGTAGAGGCAGCTC